ACTTCTAAATCGTTTGCGTTCGTACGTGTTCAAACGCGATATTTTTTCTCGATATCGACCGAAACAAGTTCGGACGTGTTCGTGACATCGCGAGTGTGTGGTGAAAGTGTTTCAAGAAAAGGAGAAGAAACTACAACCAATGTTGACATCGCTAATGGCGTGGCAAGAAAAGGGCACTGTAACGTTGGTACCAGGAGGAAGGCGACAGTCAATCCAGAGCTGCTTTGATATGAAAAAGAGATCAACGATCGGTGAGTCGCATGTTTACGATTCCTCTGGTTACCCACCATGTCGTAAGACGAATGGTCTAAAACGGCACGGGTGACTGGTTGTATTTTATATCATTCCCATAATTTGCCAAATTAAATTCCTCGAAATTAAATACATCGCGATCGGTATTTAAAAGTTAAATACTTATAAACTTTTGATACAACACTGAAAAAAGCATTTTCACGAGAAATGTAATATCCTACGTAGCATCTTGTGTGCTTTTTTCCACTTTCCCACTATTTTTGCGACTTCTAAAGCGTCATAACTGGCAACGTATGTGACGTAAAAAATGATTTCTTATTTCATTGCAAGATAATCTTATGCAACTACCGATTCTCCATATAAAATTTTGTTTCCGTGTCATTATTAATTGCTCTTCCTTTTTTTGCAAATGTAGACACCCTATATTTCGTGATTTATTTACAAATTTATTTTGTAATATATGTTGTACTTTATTTCATAGTATACACTGTATTGCCTTTTATGATTCATTTTGAAATTCATTTTATGATTTATTTTCTGTGATATTTTGTACTTTCTTTTATATCATATTTTGTACTATGTTTTACTAATGTGTTTAGGCCTGGGTCTCGATTGCGCAGCCACCTCCACGTGGTGAGACCTGGTAATTGGCATCGTTTGTCAAAGATAAATTTTTCTTGACTTGCTTCCATGAATTCTATCAAAGTATCTATAGATTTTACAAAAGAATTTATCTTTGACAAACGATGCCAAGCTAAGAGCTACGCAGTACTCACAGTCCAGTCTAGCTTTTAAAATGCTACTTTGTGGTATCTTAGAAGTTAGGCTGGAATTGGGAGTGAATTTACATATATAAATTAAAATAAATGTTTACGGATACAGGTCCCGATTGCGTAGTCACCTCTACGAGGTAATTCCGTATTTATTGCAATAAATTTTATATAGTAATTTTCGGAATCTTCTATAAGTTCATCATTGGCAAACAATGTCAAACTAACAGCTATGCGGTCTAGCTTTGCACATGCAAAGCCACCTTTAGTTCTTTTGCAAGCATGATTATTCAATTTTGTTCATTATCTTATCGTATGCTACGTCAATAGCACATATTCCAATCCTAACTAATCATTATCCTATGTAAGTGCTAAGGCATTATGAAAAAGGTACATAAAAGACTTATCTTGTATCATAAAATACCATAAGTTCTCTCGCAATATAATCGCATACAACATTAGAGAGCTCTTTTAGGAAATATAATTCCTCGCTTATGATAAGTATTCCGTTTGTAATTTTACGTCCGACTCGTACCAACTGTGCTTTCCTCACTTTACCGCTCATCGAAAATACCTACACCGGCTTCCCTACCTTTCCTACCTATGGTAGAGCTAACAATTAACTCTACTAGTACAAATGAGGTATACACGCAACAGGGTTCATCCGTAATATTAGCTACATTAATACATACACGATATCCGCATGCGATTTAGGCACACGAAATCATACCTGTGTCTATTTATAATAGATACATAATCTTCGAACGCTATATTGAAATAACATAATTGGGGTAATTTAAATAATTTATTCGCGAACACCGAATGTCGCGTAAAACTAATGTATCCTATTCCCTATTATCAGCTATACTTTCTCGGCGTTTGAATTGATGGCGGGGAATCTATCGAATTGAGCTGATTTATTTTATTTGCGAATGATAACTTGTAATTTATTTTATAGTTAATTCTAGAATGAACTGTCATTCCTTATAAAAATTTCGAGGCCAGGTGCACTACTCATTCGCCCACGTGTACCGCACGCTAGACACTGAGACGACTGATTGTTCGGTACTCTATGCATCTACTATGCGGTTTACTAGAAGAAGTCCGCTGTTTCGGCCCAGAGTAAGGTGGGGCATCCCATTAGCTCCGCTTAACATGCTCGCTCGTAGTCTCCACTCTTCCATGACACTACCGAAACCACTATTTCAGGTTCAGTAACGTTACATAGGCGTAAGGCATCCGTAAAATTTCTGTACTCGAATAATACATTGAAAGCCTGCGAACATGAGAGTAATATTGCATGAGCGAAACACATATTTAATACGTGTATGAAATATAAGTATAGTTAAATAAAATTAGAAAATGAACATTCATCAGAAGAACCTGAAGTTAATGCTTTAGCTCAGTGAACTTCTTCTCTGCAACGCACAGTATAAGACGTAGTCTCGGGACGGACACGAACTCACACGATTCTAGAAGTGTCCCACTCCGTGCGGCAGAAGCGAACTGACCATGGTGTTAACCAAAAGCAACTGACATTCATTCACTGTCAGACTTGACTCGTATCCGGCTCTTTGAGTACTTGGTTGTGGATAATCCTGTACATTAGACATTTCTTGGATCAATTCTCATGGAGCACTTCATTTGTTCCTACCCTTTAAAGGAGCACACCACCCTAACACGCTAGAAAATAGGTAGTTTGAAAATTTTTTTATAAGTAATTACTAAATGAAAAATCTAGTTGGTATCAGAGAGTATAAATGCAAGCTTTAGCATTGTTCCACAATTTTTTAAAAGTAAAAATCGTACAAAATCGCGAAGTTATTCCCTATTTCTAAAATCCTGATTACCTATGCTGATAGAACACTAATAATCGTGTTTATCCCAAAGAAACTACTTTAAACGACTATAAAAAATTAAATAATTGACATGTCTAGAAAAAATTGTATGCTATATTGTAGAATATTCTATGTAAAATATCTCTCTAAAATTTGAAATAAATAAATAGATACATGTAGAGAGTTCGTCAGATTGAAAGGTGTAAATTTGGGAAAAATGTAAAAGAAGCTTAAGATAGTTTTTCACGGTCCGTCCAAATGTTTATCGATACAACTTCGCTAAATGTTCGAATTTTACAATATTGCTTTACACACGTTTTACATATTTAAAACTTTAAGCAAAAAAAAAAAAAAAAGGTTTCCAACTAGGGTGGTGTCATACCTTCTATTACAAGATCTCGTGGTTTAAGTATTTTCTATTCGTCGCTTTTCTCCGTTATCTTGGAGTCCTTGGCGATTTACGTAAGTCGCGGAGTGGCCACTTCTGGGATCGTGTCAAAGAGTATGTTTGAACGGTTCACTTGAGAATATGCAAAGATCTTAGCGGATTTTGAGGAGTTACGAGTGCGACAGGTAGTTCTTGGTTGTTCATTGAATCTAGGATGAAAATTTTTATATTATTTTCACCTTCACATTTTTTCATACTAATTTTTCATTCTCAATTTACACTCGTGCAATGTTAATGTTAATTTCTAATCGTACATATGTTATAAATTTTAAAGAGTAAATCTTCTAATAAAGTGATCTATTAAGAAAAGATTATTCAAATGTTTGTACACTGTATTTAGTATCTATACGAACTACATAGTTTTACAGTTTATTGCAATATATATTTCATGGAAGAATCCACTTCACGCATTAATGAAAATATTAGTCGATAAAGATTGATGTTCAATCTCTTAAAATACACGAATTGAAATAAAAATAAAAGAAGATACGAGAAACACAACAAAGACGAATTTCCAAAGAGAATAAAAAGGGAAAGCAGTTTGAGAGAAGGAATTTTTCTTGGAGTATTTGAATTGCTAACCTGCCTTGGGACAAAATTAAAAACAGTGTGGAATTGCTTTGTACAAGTACAAAAGGATTATCATGGGTTGAAGAAATAGAGAAGAGATTGAGAATTTGCGCAACGTCGAACGAAGTCTCAAAGAAGTTCCGCGATTAGAGGAGCCTCAGGCGTCCATCGAACAGAGCCTTGACATTTTCTTCATTTTTTTTTTTGCGTGTCGCTCGTTTAAGACCTTTTCATCAAGATATTAGGAAAAGAACAATCTATAAAATCGAGACTCGACTTCGAATGCCATTCGATACATTGAAGTTGGAGAAAATGAGGCTGAGGTGGCATTAGAACCGCCATTTTGGAGAACCATTGTTAGAAAATCAATTGAAATATCGAATGATCCCATAGAACATTATTATACTTATTGAAGAATATACTACCATTATATTAGTTACATCAAATCTTTGATAAGAATAATACCAGTCAAAACAAAAATAATATTTCAGGTATAATATAAAGGCAATATGAAACAGGAATACTATTGCACTCTTACTATATAGAGAAGCAAGATAACTCGGTAATTATTACAAATTAATTGTACTTGTGTCATCAATACTAAACCTTAAATGACTATTTTGAAACTTTTGTTTTAAAATTCCGCCTTCAGTGTTATCTTGGTCACTTGGGTATTGGTCACTTGACAACGTGATTTGGTTTTAGTATATATATAAACAATTTTTCAATATTTTCTCATCTTCCATTTTTCCAAGATTTCTCTTCTTTCCTTTTCTTCTTCATTTACAATTTAACTGACCGTGGTAGGATTGGTGTCAAAATCCAGCAACTGACAGTATCTACAATAGCACAAATAATAATTTTATCGAAACACAGTCAACATTAAAACTTCATTAGTCTAGTACCCTCTACTAAATCTAATCTGATCTCGAGTAATGTATTTTTCCTGAAAATTTCGAATAGCGAAGAACTGGAGGGGGTTTAGAGGAAAGAATTTCAGAAGAAGATAGCAAGCGGAATTCAGATGTTCGTCGAGGATACGCGTGGTGGTCGAGCAAAGATGATAAAAGCTTGCGAAGCAGAGGAGGCAGGTAGTTTTGGTTTCGGGAGCGGAACAGCAGGAGCTCGACATGACCTCGACGATGATCATTCGTTTGTTGATTCCCTGCAGCATTCTAGGCTTCGCGAGCTGTGAGTACAAGATGATTGTATCCTCGAGAAAGTGAAACGTTCCTTTTGCTAAATATATCAGTGATATTTCTTGTGCCTGATTATTGGTTTTGAAAACATGTGTTTCCTGTGATTATTATCATATCATTGTTAAGCAGGAGTTCTGTTATACAAATATTGCTTTTTGGTTTACTGATGCCATGCCATAGGTATAATCGCGATAGCAATTTTGGTAACCATGTAAGTAGTAGCTTAATAAATGTATCTATAAGAATGGTGTAGCAGTTGCAATAAATTATATAGCTCTTCTAGCTTTGTGTAATTTAATCTAACATTTTAAGAACCATTGTTTTCTTTGAATTTACGAACCGACAAGACAGTTCGGTAGAAATATAAAGTTATTAGCCGTGGAACATAGTTGTTAAAATTCATTGACTGTTGTGTCACTGCAACGCCATTTAGCTTTACGTGAGCATCGTGTCACATTTTTGGTGTATATCTTCGTCCAATATTTTCCAGGTTTTATTTTGCGATAAAAATGATTAATTTTAATTAAGACTGTTACATAATCACTGTTGTGAAAATTAACCGTGCTATAATCTTGAATATTTTAATATTCTCAGTCATAAAGCAGAGTTTTGGCAAAACAAAAGGAGACAATTTGTTCAATTCTAAAGAATTTTTCTATTTTAATAAAAGAAAAATTTCAGAAACTTGCAAAGTTTCGCTGTTATTATTACAGAATTTAATAATTTTTATATGCATGTGAGAAATTTTTATTTTAATTGTTAAAGTAAAAATTCTAAATTCATTAATAAGCACTATGGTACTTGAGAAAATATTTTAATAAATTCCACATAAACTCCTAACGAATTCTCCTACCTAATTAATTATATTAAATTAATGTAACTTAAAAATCAACTGAACGATCTTTCCACTTTATAAAGGTATCAAACAAATCGAGAGTACCTATACAATGCCACAGATGTCTATTTTGTAATAGATTATGTAAACCATTGAAGACGATCTCGAGACCTGAGGGAAGACCTAGCTTTCGCCGAGAGAAAGAAATATATGTGTTTTAATTTCGGTTAGACTAATTGAACAAGTTTGCAAAGGAAGTCATTCTAACTCGTACGTAAGATAAAGAGAGGAAGAGTAGTGCGGAGGTCAAATCGCATCATCGAACTTTCTCCGTTCGAGGCTTTTCGATAGTGAAGGTAAATGCATGAGCACGCACGCTTCAGGGACCGGTTTCGTCTTCAACGTGCTGCATTATGCAACGGTCCAGGATTTCCCAATTCGGAGGCCCGCGAAAATAGCTCTGCTATCATTGAGCATTAATTCCTAATTAGCATTTTCAATGTCTTTCCAAGATCGAATCTGGAAAAAACGAATGGGAAATGAAACGAACATGATTCTGGGATAAATGTTTCGAAGGTACTTAAATAAATAAAATAAGGAATTCTATTATATACAAATCGTAATTAAGAGAATGGAAAATTCAAACGTTCCTGTATATGATATTTATAGGTGAAACAAATTAGGGGCAGACTATTAGAAGTTGTAGGAAATAATAAATAGGACTGTACAAAATAAAATAAATGAAAAATGTACGTGTGGGATAAAGCAATTAAATTTTTCGTGATAAATTTGAATAACACCTTTTTCACAAATAAGAAACTGTAAACATTTATGAAATCAATTTATTAGTTATAGAAGATTATAAAATTTTGAAGTAATTATTTGATGGTCACTCGTGATAGATTACTTCAGGAACGGTGAAATAATAAAGATATACGATCAAGTTTTATGTGATTCAGTAACAGGAGACCAAATAAATCAGACGATTTCGTATAACACGGGTTACGAAACTGTCGTGAATAATCGTGAAATAATATTGAAATAGGTGCCTGATACTCACATATTGAAAAACCAGGATTCTCATAACAACTTCGTCTTCACGTTTCATAACATCACTGTGCTTCTTGTAGCGCCGACAGAATACTTTTTGCATTATTCATTATTCATTATCTTCTTATTTTCCTGAAAATTTATATTTTTATTACTAAAATGACACATGACATTTCTTTCACAAATGAGATAGGAATTATAGATAAAATGTATTATTCGTCTTATCTTTCTAGCTATCAATCAAAATCGTTTCATAGGAGCAAATCAAGGAGATTTTGCGTACACCAATACCAAACAGCAAACTTCAATTTCTTGTCCGGAAAGAAATGGTCGATTTCCTGTTCCATCTGAATGCGATGCCTACATAGAGTGCATCGATGGCGTACCTGAAGAAAAATTATGTCCCGAGGGACTCCTATTTAATCCAGAAGTGAGATTCAATTTTCCCTGTGGATATCCAATAGACGTGGACTGCGATGGAAGGCCTAATCGACGTTTGTATCACGCAATTTCGTATTTTCTTTAAGTTTTCTTGCACTTGTAAGCACTTTTTGGGAACTTGAAATGAAAAAAATAATATTAATTTATTGATTGATTTTTTCAATAAATTTTAAGAAAAAAGTAGTATATATTATTAATAGTATAAATAGAGAGTATCATATATATGCTTTAAATTTCATTTCATTGGAAAACTTCTTATTAGATAATAATAATAATTTGAATATTTAAATTTTCTAAAAAATAATTAAATCTTACAATTTCATAATTTTCTATAACATCTTCAATTTTCAGAGCCTCCGCAGCCAAGTGAAGATTGTCCTCATCAATATGGCTATTTCAAGATTGGAGACCATCAAAATTGTGGTCAGTTTATGAACTGTGCCGAAGGAAGGGGCCACATTTTCGACTGTCCTGAAGGATTGGCATTCAATGCTGAATCTTATCGTTGTGACTGGCCTGATCAGGTACCGGATTGCGATGCTGAAGGTAAGCGGATTTCATATTACCCCTTTTATTCCTTTTCAATGTGTCAAGCTTCTTTCGTCACAGCGTCCTTGAAATTCTTCATTGCATCATACATGTAAAATTCTCACGAAGAATGCAGAAACATCTCTGCTTGAAGCAGGAAAAAGAAATTTCAGAATTAGTATGATATATAAGATTAAAAATAAATTCTAATTTATTCAGATTGTTTCTCTAATTAGTTCTAATTAAATGCAGACTTTCCTATTATTTTCTATCAAGGAAATAAATATAAGATAAATAATCAAAGAAATACAAAAAATCATTGATTTATAAAAATTGTTAAATAATTACTTTGTATTGTTAATGCAGTCATCTTCGGCTTCCGGTGTCCAGAGGATTTTCTAGTCCTGAAATTAGTACGATATATAAGATTAAAAATAAATCCTAATTTATTCAGATTGTTTTTTGATTAGTTCCAATTAAATGCAGACTTTTCTATTATTCTCTATCAAGGAAATAAATATAAGATAAATAATCAAAGAAATACAAAAAATCATTGATTTATAAAAATTGTTAAATAATTACTTTGCATTGTTAATGCAGCCTTCCTCGGCTTCCGGTGTCCAGAGGAACTTTCCAATCCTGAACATCGATACCAGATCCGATTCTTCCGGAGTATTCTAGACTGCCAGCGTTATTACGTCTGCGTGAATGGTCGGCCACGGTTGCAAAATTGCGGTGCGGGAAGGGCTTTTAATGAGCTCATAGATGCATGTGATGCTGCGGCGAATGTCACCGGGTGGTAAGCGGATTTCTTATAATCCTTCCACATAGGAGACAAACGAGAAATAGAATCTCTCTGCAGCTACTTTATTTTGAAAACTTGCAATTCTTTAGTTATTAAGTGTAAGACTGATATATTTTTTTAGATTCGCTATTTCATTTTCTAGCAATTAACATATATTTTTGCTTTTCTTTTGTTTAATTCTAATTTATCTTTTATATTTTTATCTGTTTTTAGTGACTCACTTCCACTGCAGCTTGAGAAGAAAACTAAGCTGTTTTAGATATAGTAGGATTTTCTTGAATTCTCCTTCAAATTTTTCATAATTGACGAATGAATATATTTCATTAGATACAGTTATACTGTATAAATTAAATTTCAATGCTACGAATACAATTAAGGTTACATGCTACTGCAAAATTATAAAAAAGTAGGAAACATGTAATATTGTAAATAGATAAATTTTTCAAATGTACTATTGTAAAAAAGATGTAACTAGTACAAACTTATAGAACAGATAATTTTTAAAATAAAATAATTTGTTAAATTTTAACTACTTTTAAACAACAATAGTATCTTAACGTACAGGATTACTTTGATTTAAATCCCCCATGGATGATAATTTAGAGATTTAAGAAGTAATACACGCTTCTTTAATAACGATAATTTCAACTCAAAGATAATACTCGTTCACTGAATTTTAATCGCTCATGATACTCTCGAGACTCTCCTTTAAAACTTCCCTCTTAGAACTTTCTCCATACTACTCAGGTCTCTCCACAGCAACTACTGCCTCACACGCACTTTTCTCACACTGCGTATATCCTTACGCATTCGTTCTCTTTCATTGTAATTCGGAACCGTTCTCACTGGATTCATATAGACACGTTCACCCAAAATTCTTCAGTCATAAATAGTCCATACACTCGATTTTCTCGGAGTCGTACCTATTCCATTTCCACATTAGTAAAAATGGTAAGTTCTTATATTTATTTTTATTTTATTTCCAATCAATTATGCAATTTTACATCAAATATACATATATGATCTTAATTTGGTCTCAAACATAAAGAACCTCTGAATTAAAAGGTATTATAAAAGTTTTAAAGTGAGATTAATTCAATAAATTTTGCTAATTCGCCTCATTTCAAGCTTGAATAGTTATTATCTTTGGTATCAATGATAATATCTTTCGATATTTCACTTAGAAAATAGTTTTTGGACAGCTTTGATAGAATTGAGAATTTTTATAGAATTAAAAGTCGCTGATTAGCACAATACAACATCTAGTTATAAAGGCATATATAATACATATCTTGTATTATTAACTAGAAAAATTTACGAAGATTTTTTCCAAAAGTTTTTATCCAAAAAAAATTCATTTACAAAAGTCAAGTTAAACCAAAATAAATTAATCTGATAATTGGAAATATGAGGTAATTCGTCATACAAATTGACAATATTCTATACATAATAAATAATTTATAAAGGTACGCATTTTTTAAATACATTATTGTATTTATGTTAACATATTCGTACACAAATGAAATATGTTTCGGATTACTAAATGATCCAGTTATCAGATTTATTAACTAAAATGCCTTCGTAACATTGATATGTTCCCTTAATAATTTTCTTTTAATAAATCTTCACAACAAAATAGTAATAACATTAAAAAGAAAAAAGACAAGTAACAATAAATGACAAAATAACTATCATCGAAAAAATTCCATGTGATGAACACACTCTTGTTAGTGAGAGAAGTATATCACCATACTTTAACATGTAATTATTAACATGTTAACAGCTATGACTGTGATAATGAGTCAATAAGATTCTAAATACAAATATATAATAGTGCACATGGAAAATTTTCGATCGATCACCTTTTGTTCATGAACTGCATTTATTATAATAAACATCCACTCATGCACTCACGCACTCACGCGCAGACACATACAAACATACATGAATATAAACATCCATTTATTTTGTAATAAACACAGTACACATGTCACGAGCAATTATACTTACGAAGAGATGAATAATAAACAACTGCACCTCGTTAATCCAGACTAATCGAGAACGAATGTCGACAATCCAATTTGATCCAATTCGATCTGCATTAGCGATTTGCGTCTCTGAGGGAACAATAATAATTCTGGTCCAATACGTTCTTTGTTATTATGAATCACGCGAATTCCAGACCATACAATTCCTTCCAGACCGCAAAAGATAAAAGAGAATAATTGAAAGTGGACATATGTACATTTATACACCCCTACATAATATACATTTATCTAATCTATACAATTAATACATAGTAAAATAATATTATATATACATATATCCACTCTAAATTATTATAAATTCACATATGTTTGAAAACCAGTCGGGCTTAACGAATTTTGGTGCAGTGTTATTGGTCAGCGGATGAAAAAGTTTGTATAAAAAAATAAACATATTTTTGAAAGCACCCGGGTTGCAACTATAGTCTGCAATTTTAGAGATCTAAAATAATGATATAAAAAATGGTTGCTTAAAAATCTGGAACACTAATGTAGTTCGTGATGCAGTAATAAATGAGGAAAGATGGATTGATTAGCTGGTTAATGGTCTACTTAAAATAATTCAATAATCGCACCATCGCCGATGTCCATTATGATTAATTTACCTTAATGCAAAATTCTGACACCTCCGTAGGTCTCTATAATAAGATAATACTAGAAGTATAATAAATTACAGATCTATTAGAATACAGTAAAATTTTACGAAATAGTAAAATTACTATTTATTGATAAAAATTGCTTACTTTAATGATTATATTTATAAAAATAAAAATTCCACAACTTTCCTCATTTTGATCACTTCATCGAGAAAATGTACAGTAATATGAAGAGAAATATGAAAACATCTAAATCCTTCCAGATTGTTTAGGATTCTAATAATTGAAACACAACTTTGGTGAACCCGTTGGTGAATTTTACAGTCTTCATGTGCTTTACAATAATTGAGTACTGCGAACTGCATACTCGTTCATTAAAATGAATTATGTTAGCTTCATTCGCCACTCATGAATAGAATCCTCTTGATATAATAATTTCGATTGGATTGCAAAAAAGTTTCATGAGGGCTCATGATGTAAACTCTGTAATTCATAAGCAAGATGACAGCATTCTGAATCACTCCAACGATGTTGTTCCCGAATTCTATCGGTATTGGACCCTGTGTATGGTGTCACTTCCGAAACCTGAAATTATAGTTTTTCAACTTAATCATATCTGCTGCAGTTAACTGCTTTTATTGAAAACTATAAATTTATCAAAAAAGAAATTGCTTCTATTAATATTTTCAAGTACCTACAAAAAATTATAGAATCAATTAAGAATATTTTAATAATAATTTTACTTTTTTAAAATTTTAAATATTAAACATTGAACTAGTAACATATTGAATTTGCTTTATGCATCCAATCATGCGAATAAAGAGGATATGACAAGTTGGAACATAAAGGAGTGTCTATACTCACGTTCGAGCAGAAGGAGAGTAACGATTGATCCGTATATTTGCTATAAAGGGGTGAAGTATGATTCGTCTGTTGATTCTGATTTCCCGGATGTGCACTCTGTCCGTTTCCTGCAATTTCCAGGTAACCTCTGCTGCTTGCTAAACTACCTCCTCGCGTACCAATATCTAAAAATTTAATTTTTGTTATTTAAAAGTTTTTCTGACTTATTATTGATTTTTTAATTACATAAAAAAATATAAAAAATATTGCAATTTTTATTAGACAATTTTGAAATATTAAATAAAATTTTGCGAATATGTACCTAATTTTTATTTTTAGAAAATAAAATTTTTCGTTCAGAAAAAATTAATTTTACAGTTTCCAATTACAGATAAGAAAATTATATTATTTTCTAAAACATTCTGCACATGATTTGTACCAATAAATAAATGAAAATTCTGCACTTCTTTAATATAAATACAATATATACGATACTATCGCGATGAATTTTGTATGAATTCATATGATTTGATACGAAACTGGCACCAATAAAGCAACATAGAATAAAATAAAAGACATGTGTTATATTTTTTCGATGAGATTTTAATTTACTCTCTACTTTAAGGTTGAAAAATATCGAGTATTATATGTACAAGCAGCAATTCGTTTCACAAACTTTCCAGACCAAACACAGAAATTAATTGTTTGCATTGATAAGCGGAAATGCAAGGGACGAAAGCAAATAAATGGAGAGAAGTTGTATCATCCTCTTTTGTAAAGAAAGTAGTAAAACACTGACGGGAGTTTCGAATGTTAGTAACCAGTGAAGAAAATGAAATTTTACTATTTCTCGAGTATTTATGATTTTATGGTGTTCGCCATAAAATAGGGCTACAATAAATTGTTTTCGAAGATATTTGAAGTCGATTTGATTTTTGGAGAGCAAAATGTAATACAAGTACATTTCATCAATTATATAGTCATAAAGTAAAGAGTAACTAATAATAATTTCTATCGGTTTATCATGTAATTCACGATTCTTGAACTTCAATAAGCATGGATTTCTTTTCAAATTGAGATACGTATATGTAATTAATTAGTACGGCATAATTAGTAACGCAGAAACATACACATCAACGAAGAGATAAAGTGAAATGTCAAAGCGAATAGCACGGAGATAGTATGCAGGCGTGCACGATAGAGTGAAGAAGATTTCATAGGATAGACAGGACACCTTGTGTACTCGCCATCGAGTGAGTGGAGCGTCGAGTCGTTCTATCGTGAAGAAAACAGAAGCAAGGGTCTTTCCACCAATATGACCGCTTGGAGCGTCTGCTAAGTTTCGATGCGTTGCAGCTACAAGTGCTGCCGGAGTGAGTAGAGGGTCTAGAAATCCACCTAGTGCGAAAATGGGGCAATCTCTGGCTCCTGATTGCTCTGGTTACCTCAGTTCGTACCTCACCGTTAAGAAAACAATATAAAACAGCTACAAAAAAACCCTAATAAGGGAGAAAGAAGAAACAATTTAATAAAACATCATTAAGTAATGTTGTTACGCGATGAAACTAATAGGAAGACGAATTTTAGGAAATTTTCAATCGAAATGGATGGAAAAAATAAGAAAATGTGAATATAGCAAATGAAGAATATATAAACTGATAAGATTGAAGATATACATATACATACCTGAAATGAAGCGAACAGTTGATCACATAAGAGCCATACAACTTCTACTGTCTTATTTTTATCAACCCAATAAGACATGCCCAAGAAAACAGTATATTGAACTCCGAAAAGCGGCATTAAGACTAAAGTACTTTTTGCCCATCTCCTGTAAAATTATGCAAGTTTGTAATGCGTGCAAAATAACTTCAGCTCAAAGGGAACCACAGCGATTCCCCTTCTAGCTGAAATGATGTAGCTTTCAAGAGTTCTCAGAGAACTAGGTTGAGTAAACAGTTCAGTTACTCCAAGGGTTATTAGAGATTAAGCAGAGAAACTTACTTGTATCTTTGTGTCTCCTCCGATACCGTTGACTTTAGCTTTAGGAAGAGTACCCTAACGATATTGACGAACAACACGAAGTTAATCTGTGGAATTTGAAACAGTGATTTGCATAATAAAGAGACCAATATTTTGAAGAGACTAATATTTTGAAGTAGATCAAATTTTAATTTCTTCTCACATTATAAAAAAGAAGATAGAAATAAAATGATTCATGACTGGATAGAGTACATAGAACTTAAGAGCTATAAAATTCTTTAAGAAAATAAAGGAAATCGATTTCTAAGAAAGTAGTCTGGTACATTTATTTGATACTAACTTACCAAAATAGACAACATGGTCGGAACTCGAATAAGAAGGAAAAGATAGGGATTCTCGTGAGTGGTCCAGCAGTACTTATTTTCAAGCGTCACTCTCGCCACAATCCAGCAAGACACGAATATAGCTGGCAAACCTGATAATACATCCATATAAAAAATTTCCCATGATAATTCCATTGAAGTAATTTTAGAAACTCTTAAATAAAACATTATAAAAAAGTCCCACACTACCATCATTATGCTTCAGAACACAAATTCTTAGAGAAACTTCTTTTAGTATTTACTATTATCCAAATTAAGATTTTAAGATTTGTAATTTGATTACTTTAATGTCCACGCTGACATCTCTGAAGTCTGGGATTTCCAAGAAATGATTAGGCTAGTCATAAATTAACACCTAAAAGAGACTCACCCCATCCAAGACAGACGTAACCAGTAATGCTCGAGTTTACATCAGTGAAGAGTGCTAGAAAGACTAGGTTGTGCAAGTAGAGACCCTCCATTAGTATCCAAAAGTAGTTGGCGAGGATGAAGTACTGCCAGAAGCTAGTGAACACCTTGCAAAGCCAACTGCTCTCTTTCAGCCAGTATGTATTCCCGTCTTTTATCATCACGTCTGAGGCTAGGGCAATACCAGAGACGAACAAGAAGTCCTTCATCAGAGCCATGAACGCACGAAGCATAAACGATGCGAACAGGTGCATGTGCAGCATATTCCGGGGACACCTCAATTTCCTACGTCCAATTCGGGATAAACTTGGAGTAATGATCCGGGATTTTAAAGATTAGATATTGGAATACATCGGTTTCGATTAGAGTAAAATTAAAATCAAAGTGAAAATGTGAAAAAGTTAAACGATATGTAACAAAAATTTGTGCAATGAATTTAAGAATTAAGAGCAATATATGAACATCCTGGGTGTGATACTTACTTAATTACAGCTAAAATAATGAAAGCTATCACCAGAGTGAAGAAGGAAACAGTATATCCGACTTTTAAGATGGCTTTTACTATAGGAACAAATTTCTGCAACAATAAAACACCGATAATTAGAACATTTATTAGCTTTTATATCGGTAATTTGAGACATTATGAAACACAGAGGAAATCGGATTCGTAATCGATAAACCACAGCTTCCAATCAAAGAGAAGTTAGCGGCATTGATACGATATGTACACTGATTTCTACGTAAAAGTAAATTTATCATGATCCAAAATTGTACGAAATAATACTACGTTTAAAATCGGAGTTCCATATTATTTAAAATAATTATAGAATTAATAGGAACACAATAATCTATTTTTAATAGTTGACTTCTGCCATTTGAAAAACTTTTAACGCCATTCGCTTAATTCCTATTCATTTCCGACCTCTGTATCAAGTTTCTGACGTTCTTACTACTTTCTTCGTGGGATATTTCCTTTCCATATAAACATCGCAGCAGTTTTGACTATTTTCAACGTCACCAGAGAAAAAGCAGGTGAAAAATATAACACAGTTAAGCCTTTCTTTTGCTCCAATAAGCATTTTCTTGTTATTGGATCATTAAATTATACGTACGGTCCGTTTAGGATGCTTTCTCAACCTCTCACCCTCAGCTGATAAATTTACTCGAGTTCACAAACATTTACCTTAATGAGGGTATCGTTGTTCCTCTGCCCAGCAGGTTGTTCCATGAAGAGAGTTACTAGTTGGTTTCTGAAACATTGACTGTAGTTGCTCCAGGTGCTGTTCGTGCTATTATTCCAGAACCACTGACCATCTCGCATACATTGTCTCGATGCATTTGCCTAACAATTTAAACACATTCCTTTTAAGAAATTTCCAACGTTAAGAAACTCATAATGCTTACTGTATCAAACCACAATTTTAGATTTATTGTTAAAGATAAAAATTCTAATGAAATAAAACTAACACAAATCAGGTGACTTTCATATAAAAATAAAAGTACCACGAGATACAAGTTTAATTTTGATAATTACCTGGATGTCGAAACCAGCGATGTAAGATGGACAAGGCAAGATGGCCAACTCCCCAGGTGCTGTTGATGGCCAGCATAGTATCTCATCCCAAACTTCTGGGCACCAGCCTGCGTTTCAGAAAATTCATTATGTCTCCTTTTCTTTTCGCGCAGCCAAGAAATAATATATCATCCGGTGCTACGTGTGAATGAAAGAAGGAAATACGCCTTCGACATGTTCCCTTTTCACTGTAACCCACGTACCCAAAAAAACCCAAAATATTCAATCAAAGCATTTTTTATCAGGTTTACCCCTATACTTTATGTTTAAAAACTCATTTGATTTCACTTCAATTTCGAAACTCCATTTCCCTGGTAACCTAACATTTTTTTTTTTTCAGAATTGAAACTGGTAGAACTAAAATTAATAAAAATTACTATGTCTATCTTTTTAAAATTCCTTACAGATACATTGCAAATGAAAAGTAATAAAATAATTCAATGATAAAAATACTGTTAATCAAAGAACGAATTGGCACGTTTTTGATTTGTAGTTTCATGAATATTTATAAAAACTTGATTGAAGACTTGTAATTCATTTCCAGATAAAAAAATCAATTACACGCATAAGCTATATATAAAGCTACAAAATTGATATAAACAAATTTTGTAATGTATCATTTACATTGTGGTAACGCATGTTATATTTCATTTTTCTAGATGAAAATAAAATTTCCTTAATTTACTCGGATAAAGTATTATATATCTCACTTCCTTAAAATTAAAAAAAATAGTAATACATTGAAACAGGAAATAAAGCAAGATTAGAGAAAATTTCTATTTCCTGTTTCTTTGTCCTTTTCCATTTTTTTTTCAAAATCGAAAGCGTTACAAGAAACATGGAGTTTTATAAAATATCGAGACACGTTGTAAGGTTGTAAAAAAGTGTACGGTTTCCAATAGTAGCTCAGGAATTCGTCGTCTCGACTTTTCTTGTCTCGTAAAAGACAATATTACACCTCCCTTCATCTATTTCCTCCGGCACGTACGTCCTACTTCCGGTTCATTCAACAAAATCACCGAATTGAAATTCTTCGTGCTTTGCAATTATCCTGACATCGGCCTTGATAATTACCTCGAAGTAGAAAATAGATTTATCAGTCTCAAAGTTTCCAAACTAAAAAGAGAGAGAGAGAAAGAGAGAGAAAGAAAACTGTGAAAACCAAAATTAGATAAACTTGAAAATCTCGCAAAGAACACACTCCAGTAAATTGTAAAAATTTAATATAAGTATTATTTGAATACATTTAACATTAACAATTGGTATTTTAATAGTAAGTATTATTATTAGCCACCATACTAAAAATATCAAATTACATTTTTATATGAAAAAAAGGACTAGATTTTTTAATTAAATTGTTTATTTTTTAGTATATATTGATATTTTCCCTTCTTGATATTATTTTTGCAATATTTTTAAAATACCTATAAGGTACTAAAAATTTCAAGCAAAACGTGAGACTATCTTTTCAAACGTTTTGGGGAAAATATCGAAATTACAAATTAAAATGGAAATTAACTTTTTATAGGCATTAACTTTATTGCCTTTCGATGAGAGGTCAAGAAATTATGGGTAATAGACGAGCTTCATTGCAAATCGATTTTTCATTAAGTGATTAGTATCAATATATGCTACGTGTTACACGATGCCTCATAATTCAATTATTATATCATCTACTCGTTTCCTTTTCTTTCAATCCATTATCCGCTCGTATCTTTGCGTTCCACAAAATTTGTTTCCTTCTAAGGATGATCTTGTCGAGTAATTAATTAATTAAACGTCTATTTCTTCGCCTTAGTTAATTAAAAATTTCCCATCAGTATAAAATATTAGTGGTATAAAAAAGGTATAAAAGGAGAAGGATATAAAAATGTTGAGAATTTCGTTCTAAATAACTGTCCTGTAGTAACTTCTGAAATTAATATCATTTATGAAAGAAATTAATACTTTATATAAAGAGAATTATTGTACAGAGTATATGCGTGTAAATACACGTTCCATCAAAAGGAATTTATTCTATGCACGTTTCAATAGTAATTTAAAAAATTAAAAACAGAGAACTACGTGTTATCATTATTTCAATAAAGTCAAAGCCATCGTCGGGATTCGATACGAACTGCTCGTCAGTTACAGGAATAGAAATCCATTAGAGCTCAAATGTGTGTAAGGGGAAATCACATTTAGATATTTGCATACTTATCGGTATGATCACTTTGCGCGCGTACTATTTTCTTCAGCCTGCTATATTTTCATTTAATCATTTAACCATATCAACGCAGGAAAAATTTCTTTATTTTTAACTATCAGTTTTATGTGGTCTTGTATTAAAACAATGCTCTCTTATATTTTCTATGTGTAAAAAGATTGATTTAGCTCTTAAGTATTTCTCTTACAATACTTTTTTAATCATTCTTCTAAATTCTTCATTCATAGAGAAAGAAACATATTATTTCTGATAAAAATAATGAATAAAAATAGAATAAAATAAAGCAATAAAATTAAATAAAATTAAATTAAATTAATAAAAATAATTTTGATATCAAAAATTTCCAAACCAAATATCGTAGAAAATATTATTATTCTACTTGAATTTAAAGCAATAAATGTTCTTTGATATGTACATTTTAAAACTAGGTTTAAAATACGAAATAGTGACTTGCGTAAGAGTTTTTTCACACTTTTTCATATAAAAATGTTTTCAATTGTTACGGAAGGTATGGCAATTTCAGTTTTTCCCATTGCCACGAAAATCTTCAGTGCTTTTTTGGTTGTTAAATTTTCTCGTATCACCAACACGATAGAATTTATGAAATCGTAGTTATTTACCATTGAAAAGGGAAATTTCCACTATTTTCCACTCGCAATTTCTATCGAATTTCACCACGAAAACGTGTAGAATAGTGAATAACGCTACAAGCGTTCGGAATGGGTGGGATTTCTACTATTGGTAGGTCTGTCGCGTTCCGTAAATTTCTCATTACAAGAGGGTCATAGGAAATCCATGGAATCGTCGTGAAATCTCTAACACAAAGCCGATGAACGCGAGTGAAGTGGCTCCATGGTGAATGATTAATTACAGGATTGGTTCTGGTTCGTTTGTTCAACAAACTCGGACGAGATATTATTGAAATGGTATTTCTCTAAATCTATTTATCGAATATGCTCAATATCTGAATATCCGGAAAAGAGTTGAGAAGAGAAAAATTGTGTCAGCATCGGATAGAAGCGAGCAAATTAAATAACACTCGAATGTAGAAATTAAAAAATATTAGAGCGGAAAGTCATATTTATAATGAAGTATTATATATCGTTTAAAAATTTGCATTATATTCGAAATACAAATTTAAGTTATTTTACATTAAAGTATTTCTATTAATAACAAGTTTCGTTAGTTTCTTAAAATTAAGTTTGAAGAATTCCGTTCAAATAGCAATCTTGAAATTGCATCAAATTTACTGCATTATTGAAGAAAAGGTCGAATCTAAAGATAAGTATATGATCTTAATTAAACTATGATAGGTAATCTCACACTTGAGAAATTCCATGAAAATCGAGATCCCTTCTTGGAAGTAACGTCACCTGCCAAATGCAGCTACACTTCCGTACTCTTAACGTACTAATTCGATGATATAACATGAATTAATGCGTACTAACCCAGTGGCGATAAGCGTCGGTCTAATTGACGACGAAGTCGAGAGTCGTTTGAACTTCAAACTCTGCAGTCACCGCATTTATCAAGCTCCATTTAATCAGTTTATAAACTGCACGGTTCTATGCCAAAGTTGGAATTACCAAATCGTTTTTTACCATTGTTCCCTAATTAATTCTCGAATATTTTTCAAAATAATTACTCGTATATTTTTTATAATTTTCCATGTTAATTGTACGGGGCGTGGACTACAGAATCCGCTGAATTCGTTCTGATACGTCGTTGAAAATTTGTATGTTATAGAACAGAAGCCCTCACCGACTGATGAAATATTCCCTCTATGACATTGGTCCGCTTTTATTTTCAAAATTCTTTTCTGGATATCAGGGCTGTTAGTGTTGCTGAAGTCGATGTCCTCCTAAAAAAGAGTAGATAAAATTTAGAAATGCATCGTTACAATTGTTCCTCAGTATTTATCAATAATCATCATCGCACATAAATAAATATCGCACGGCCTACTCGATTCGAAATTTTGAATTATTTCTGGAAGAAGTGGCCTCTTCCGTTTACCCACGCAACAAACTATGTTACAATTTGTTTATTGATTTCCAAAATAAGCCAGTGTATCTTTCACCACTACCACTTCAACAATCTGGCAGATTAATCCCGTTCCACTCTCCAATTATCAGACACCAAACCTGGTTTATAACAAATCTACAGAATAGAACAGCAAGTGCACCGGAAGTCAAGATCATGGAACCAAAATAAATTCAAGGACTAGCACGGTTCTTTCATCTGGGGTCTTCCATTGAGGACAGAACTCGATATTTCTGTTAATACACCCTCCCTGTTCGTCAACTGTTTGCTGCGCAATGGACTATTGACCATGTTTCAACGATCAACGATCTTTGACAAATTTAGCCAGTCATTCGTGACAAAGGCAAGCTCCATAGACAACTTGTAATACCGAATCTTCTCGAGAAGCCAATCGTTTGAATTTAGTTTTATGGAGGATTTGTAATATCATCAATTCCCGACCACTGAACTTCATTTTACATTTTAATGTCATAACACACAGTCTACGTTTCTAGACCAGTAGCACAAAAGGCCTAAGAAGTCCATTAGAGACTTATCCGAGGCTCACGAAAGGGAAGAGATTATCCACTCAGATGAAACATCGAAACGAGTTTTCCCAGTTTGCAGAAATATTTCATGAGCAAACGATGAGCTTCAAGAATATTTTCCAAGTAAATGCAAAAGGTTATATTTTTCTGTCTCGTAGGAAAGCCACCCCCTAACGTGCAATTTTTCTACCAGGGTTTAGAAAATCCCGGAAATTCATTAAACTCCGACAGTATGCACGTTTCTCAACTGGAATTATCAGATAAACGTTTAAACGAGCAGTCCTTCAACATTCTTCTGCTTTTATTTCTGACATATCCTGATTGCAATTGTTTTTCTTAATAAAAAATATTTCTACCCGAACAGGTGACGAATTGAAGAAAAATACAGAAACTGTAAAATATAGTACGGATGAAATAAAATGCTCAGAATATGACTTCAAGCCGTGGAAAAATATTTTTGAGTGATTTCGCATAGTGTGTCGATTTATTCCGACAGAATAGATTTGCAGAATGTATCTGCGCGTTTTACATAGCTTCGCATCGCTACCTTTAGACCTCTCCCTGCTAGAAACGTTTCGAATAACAGGGCGCGGTTCAAAATGGAATGCATGATAAAATTCTGATCATTCCTCGACTTGGGTATAATAATTACAATAAGAAAATCTAGCCTAGAATTCTCGAAAACGACAGAAATTTGGAGTTCTCTGAGCTACTTCGCAAAAACTTCATTTAAATAAAAAAAAGTCTCCATTTTTTGAAATTATAAAAGTTTCAATCGTTTCAAATTATATTGTATATCAGTGTAACAACAGAAATATAAACATTTGCAATGAATGGTGCAAGGAAAATACGAAGAACTACTGGAAATACCAATATGATATGAATACCATTGAAATGTAATAAAATATTGCATTTTTTCTATCGTTTATACATCCCTTTTAGTAATAACGTTTTTTCTCCGAATGAACAAGATTTCATGATTCGCATTGGCTTGTTTTGTGGCATGAAATAATGGAAACATTAAACCGCCTATTTAATGTCTCTGATAAGCAGAAATTCCAAGTAAAAATGTTTCTCTTTCAAGCGACTGTAATTACAATATGACATTTCTTAATGGCATAGAATTTCCTTGAAATAAGAAAAATAGAAACAAATGCGGTAAAAATAAAGTCCGATATTTTCTTCCTACAGATCTTAGTTAATTGGATCACGTTAATGATGATAACGTGGTATTTTAACGTTTGTACAATTAAGAGAAATTTTTCCTCTGATTATAATAACATTTTGACAGCAAAAAGACATATTTTGTAAACGCAAAGAGTAACAATTTCATGTAATTCACACGAAGTAAATTTAACATCTGAGATGAGAGGAATACCGACGCAATGATATACCAGTAAGAAGACAGGAAAAAAGAGATTCCCTCGCTGAGTTTGAGAGCAAACTTCAAGTACTCTGATTGTTTCTTTACACAGAGAGAACAAGAAATGAATATAACTTGGCGACAAAGGTTATTTTTCTTGTTTCTCATTGAAGCAAGAAGAAACCACTCGTGACTAACCAGAAAGCATGCTTCCCATTTTATTCTTCTATTTTTGGCTTTTCTCTCAACAGGAAATTCTTAAATATCCTCGTTACCCCAAGTATAATGTCCCAAATATCAATCCACGAATCGAAACAAGTCTGCGAATATTTCGGAAACATTTCGCCCCTGTTTTCGTGAGCTCAACGTAAGTTCTAAATACAGGTTGGTTCACCTACGAACCTACACGAGGTTTTGATGATATAGCTATGAGAATTGTCAACGGTAGTCCAGGAGCTTTTCTGTAAACGAGTGGTAACATAAATAGGACGAGAACGTGATTAAATATACCAAATTTTTATACTTCTACAATTACACCGTGTGCAATAGTATTATAATGTATACTACGCAGTGTATACACTAGTGTATTTTTAGAAGTATGACTGACTAATCATAGAAGAGAGAGAAGTTTACTCACATATGCATCCATTATGCTGCCAGTTCCTATTCCTTTATCCTTCAATTCAGTGTGTTACACGATGTAATCCTTTCACTGTGGTCTGAAACAGATAGTATTAATTTAATTAGATACCTGGCATTATTTTGCAACTACATATACAAAAATATATATTCAGTAAATTCATTTGTACAATATTTCAAATTTTAATCGCTTTTGTAAATCGCCTTTGAGAACGAATTTTAACCTGGCAAATTGAAATAATTATCTAATCTCATGGTTGTTTGCCGGATTAGCCGGTGTAGTTCCGAATTAGGGAATTCTGTCAATAGGAGTTCGATACTAGTAATTGAATTGGCTCTTAATCAACAAAATCACGATTTCACAAACTGAGGCTGGAATACGGAGCACAAGCGAACGGCCACGCCCATGTTTATCGCTTTATTAACCATCTATTAGTGACTAGGGTGGATCCGTATCTTAAATTATTACCTAAACCTCAAAACTCTTCTACTAATTAATTTTTTATCTAGAGCCAATCAATTTGCTTAAGGCTAATTATTTATACAATTTTGTGTCTATTATATTACACTTAATTAGTGATAATAATAATTCAGAATGATCAGGAGAACGGTCTGTAAGGGTTTCATGAATTTTAAGAAATAGGAAATATTTTCTATCTGCAAGATTGGAACACGGGATCCAAAGATGATAAATCTGCATCTCTGACAATTTCATTATCAAATCAATGTTTTACAACTTTCCATTCTAAATTGTAACATGATGTAGTACAACTTCAGAAATGAATTAGAGCAACTATAAATATCTAATTTAATATCTAGAAGCAAGTTGATTTGTTAGATGCATTTGCTTAAGTAGGCATTTTAGGAGTCAAGATATCCGTGAGAAAGGGGGTAATGGGATTGCAAACAGTCAGATGAAATCCTCTTAGAACTACTGTCCATGAAATTTTAGATGGCCAACTGTGAGGTTTCACAATGTGATGCACAAGGTTCTATGGAGTATATACACAGCAATTACCATACATTTTCAGCCAAGCAATAACTTTTTTCCAATTTAGATGTGTTAATAAAATCTGATTTGCAAGGAATTTAGTAAGACATCACTCTGAAGTACTTTACACATGCTTGATTTACAACATTCTTTACACTATATTACAACAAGATTACAATTTAATTCCAAACTATTTCCAACTTTTCGGTTCTTTTATTCTCGAAGAGATGAAAAAGAATATAGAATTAATTTTATTTCACTCTCAAGGAGAAACTTCTCAAACAAAAATTTCCTATCTTCTAATTTCATGGACTCCAGAAAAGGGAATAAGTAGCCATAAGTAGCTTCTAATTTCGCTATCATGGTTTCTATTTACTCGTGTCGAGCTCAGAAAGTTGTTCATTCGATACAATGAACCCACGTTCGTCACGAATCCACGGATCTTGATTTGCCACGTGACTGTTTGCTTCCGTCCATTAATATGCAACGCATTCAAGGCTGACTTTATACACAAATTTACTTTGCTCCTTTGCCGAGTTGCTTCGCCATAGCCTTCGATTACCTCCGATTCACGTCACTGTAAAGAAGTTCTGAAAAAGAAAATCGGAACACCAGTGACGACCCGTAAGGGTTCGCAGTCTCGAAAATTCGAAATTAAAGTAATCCTACGGTGTTCATCCTTCTGAGAATCTCGAGTAGGAAAAAGACGAGTGCTTCGGAGGAAAATACGAAACAGGTAGTCGTGATTCAATTATCGGATAAATAGGAGGGAAATAAGTGTAGTTTTTTGCGCAACGAAAGAGATCCATTGCCTTTTTCTTACAAATCCTGTGGACTGAAAGATATACATAGATATGCAAAATGTTTCAAACATGTAAACAGACACAGAGTTTAATTAAGAGAGCGGAGGAAAATATGCGGGAAAAGAAAGAACCTTGGAGATTCTGGGGATATTTTTAACATCCCTGCAAATTCATATTGCCAGACAGACAACCGAATTTCCATTACAAGGAGCGTGTATAAAGTCAAAAATAATTATTGCAATAATAAAAAGCATAACTATGATATGACATCTAGCAAATGTCTCGAGCAAATTAAAAAATTTTTCGCTGTAATAATTCTTAAACATTTATGCACCAGGGTACAAAGATATACTAGAGAGAAGTTACCGAATACTTAATTAAATATACGTTGAAAAAATGAAAGGACACGTGTTTGCTTGGCAGAAATGAAGTTTTTGTAGGAAAGTATTTGTAGGAAAACAGCGAGGGTTGGAAGTACTCACATATGCATGAGACAAAAGAGAAAATGGTGGAAGTAGCTCATTCACCCACCTTGAACACTCAAGAGTGAGCAGTGGCACTGTCAAGATTGCCTGGTCGAATTACTCTTAAATAAAACAGTGGAGTTGGCATTAGCAAGAAAAATGGAATACACAACGTCATTAGGTATGGCGTTTAAATTTTCAAGAAATTTGAGATAATCATTGTACACGGTCTAGTTGATTTAAAATTACTTCAAAATGACTTCCACCTGTTTATAATCCGTCATATCGTCAGCTATCGTGCATAGCTTCCATCTTCCAGTTTCACGATATTTTCTGAGGGCAGAGGATTTGTCGTGAACGTGAGAAAAGGAAGGAATCGTCTTCCCTACTGACGGAGGTATCGTGAAGGGCAGCCGTAAAGGCATGACGATAATAAAGCTCGGGTAAACGGCGATGAATCATGAATAAATCTTGCCTTATCCGAGGGATTTGCGAAGCCGCGAACACACTTCAGGGTTTTCGTCGCGTGATACAATAGGAAAGGAGGTCACGCACGCAGATGCAACTGCACCAGGTGAACCTTTCATCCCTGACAGTATAATTGACGACACTCGATGTTAGTCCCGATTGTCATAATAGATGGCTAGTACTATTTTGCGATTAGTCTGAAAGAAATATCAGAGTTATTAAACCTATCAGACAGTTTAGTATATCATCGATACGCTTTTTGCAATTTAATATGAACAAGCTTTGAGAAAAAATATGAAATAGAGTACAAGATGTGCACATCAAATATTTCTTGACCGGATTCTTTACCTATTTTATAATATTCCTATTATGTAAATGTTGTTCATAGTGGCAGAGATAAAAACTGATAGAATTAAAATTAATTTGTCATTATTAATTCTTTATTTCAACCCAAAAAGAATTTTTGAATAAGCAACAATTCAATATAACTAAAGAATTAATAATGACAAATTAATTTTAATTTTATAATTCGATAATTTTAATTCTATATATATTACTTTGGTTTACAAATTTATTGTTTAGAAAAAGGAAAAGATTTATCTAATCGATTATCTAATCTGATATCATATTATTTATGGCTCATAACAAATGTAGTTTATCTGCTAGACGAGATAAAATGTACAATAATAAGTATCCTAAAGGAGTAAACTGTATAAAAATTGGTGTTAAATAAGAAATCGGAATAATTAAATAAAATGTCTAAAGAATTATTACTTCGTTTGTTTCCCCGCATCTGATAAATAATTTTATGGTGATCTGAACATGAAAATGACGTCTAACTATGGCATTCAGTACACATAGTTAATTAAAATCAACAGACGCGTCGACTTGAGCAACTTTTAATCGTTTCCGAAGCTTTGTCGCTTCATGGAACAATGTATTGACGAAAAATGTATCCTACGAGCCAATTTCGCGGCTATTAATTAGTTCTGCAACTATAGGTTGATAAAGCAGTGCAGCACATGTCATTTCGCTGATACAAAAATATTTAATTTTTTCAGCTTTGCATAAAAAGTAGAGGAAAATTTTCTTAGTTTCTCTAAGTTCAATTAATCTAAAAAAAAATCTTAAAAAAAGCAGATTATAAAAAATAACGATTGTTAAAGTATTATAAATTATGCTAAATGTATATATGTATAGGTTACATAATCATTTCATCTTTTTCTTTCCTGTTCAGACCATGGTAAACAGCAGATCTATGCAACTCTGTTGAATTACTATTTTCTTATAAACTTGAAATCAACCATTTCGTTTTTACTTGACAAAGAAATATTTTCGACGTGAAGAGCAAGAAAAGAAGAAGCTTGTTCTTGCTTTGCAAAGAAGAACATTCCAATTTCATTTAAACTCCAAAAATTCCATCTAAATAATGCTGTGCAAATAAATAGGTACGCCTACGAATCCATTGGAGGAAAATCTCGAAGAATGAAATGCTGAATATATTTGCGTGATATTTATCCTGATCAGTTCCTCATTATCCCTGAACGAGCAAGATCCTGTAACAGAATGGGCGTTCCAGCGCCAATTTCCACATCGATAGCTTATCTGCTTTTAGAAACGAACCGATATGACTCGAATTGATGTGGCCGAAGGCGATGCGACGAAGTTACGAGTCGATAACGTCCAAGAAATCTCCCCTTGAGATTCGAGAACCATCCACTCTCACGAGAGCTTCCTATATTTTCCTTTTTCCATGGTGAAAAAAGGCGAAACTACACCACAGTGTTTCAAGCCAGGATCTAGTTACACTCCACGGAGCTGGAAAGTTCCTCTTAATTAATCTAAGCTTTGTAATTTCGCCAATTACAAAAATCTTACAAATATGAAGTTCATTTGACAAAACTTATTTCGCTTCAATGGTTTTTTACTCGTCGCTGAAGATTTCTATCTGGTATATCTTGCTCTTTGACGCAGACAAGGAGACACGCTAGTAGTGATAATTAGCACCCAAGATTGGAATTTTTAATTCACATCCTCAATTCCTGAATAATGCCTTGAAAAACGTTAAAAGAAGTTTCTGAAATAAATGAAGAATTTTTTAATGAAAAGAGGAAACAAATAAATAAAACGAATTTTAAAAAGAACATTGATTTAAAAAAGAAACTAGTAACCAGGTACGAACAATAAAGAGTCTAGACTCTAGACATTCGGTTAAAATGGAACTACAACTGGGTTCATGGCTCGATGAAGATACTGCTCATAAGTTATACCTGATGCTTGGTACAAAACACTTGTTCGAAAGAACTGAGCATTTGGCGGGCTGTTTTGATTATCCACGTTTATTTTCAGACTCA